TTTCCCCTCTCTGCCTCATGATGTCTTCTCCCCCACTCCGTGTAGGGCCCTTGCTCCCCCTACCCCCGAACCATATTTGGTGGGAGTATCTGGTTCCCCCTTTTTTCCTCCCTCTTCTCAAACAAATAAGAGAGTTAATACAGTATCAGGGAAGATAGATAATAACTAGAAGGAGATAAATAAGGCTAATAATTAGAGGCAAACAAACAAAATGACTTTGTATTAAAATGTACCAAACAGGTGGGTAAGATTCCCCTCCATGCGCTCAAATATTGAACGCAGGAACTGTGTTATAATGCAGATAACACAAAGGATTGAATCCAACCTTACAGTTGGACGGGTACTCCAATTAGATGTTTTTATGTTGAAAATCTATGAATGTTTGTTGAGTGTTTGTATGTACAGAATTCGATCTGCTGCTAGGGGGAGAGAGGGAGGAGGTGAAAATGTTCTCAATCAACATACAGGGTATGAATACACAATTTAAGAGATCAATGTTAATACAATTTTATGAGAAAAGAACAAATAAATGTAGCATTCATCCAAGAAACTCACTGGAGACAATGTGACGTAATCAATTATGGAGGTAAAAACTTCCCTAAAATAATTAAAGTATCTCTGAAAGAAAAACAAAATGTGGAGTAGGTATAATATTTTCAAAAGACATAGCAATAGAAATAGAGCATCAGGTAATAGACCAAGAGGGAAGATATATTATTCTAGTATGTAAAATTAATGAATTAACATATACGTTGGTCAATCTATACCTACCTAATATAAATTCAATCCCAACTTTGAAAAAAATCTTTGATATTGTAAACAAAATGAAATTGGTATGTATAATGCTAGCAGGTGATTTTAATGGTATTTTAGATCCAAACATTGATAAAAAAAAATCTTAAAAGGACAAATAATGGACAAACGAATATATAAACAAGCGAATGCCTTGTCAAATATTCTATATGAAAATTATTTGATATATGGCGCGTTCTACATTCTGCGCAGAGAGATTTTACTCACTTTTCGAAAGTACATTTGTCACATTCTAGGATAGATATGATGTGGGGAGAAGGAAATTTAATAGATAATATAAACGATATTGAAATAAAAAACAATACTTGGTCAGACCATGACTTTCTTATTTGGAAATTGAAAGACAAAATGGAAAAAAAGAGGCACCCTACTTGACGTATAAATGATTATCTATTATAGGACACATCAAACATATTAAAGAAACAATCCATTATTATTTGGAAAATAACCCTGAAGACACAACCCCCATAATAAATTGGTGTGCGTTTAAATTTCTTTTGAGGGAGCATCTGATAAAACTTAATACTCAATTGAAAAGGAAAAGAGGAGAAAGTCTAGCACAACTATATATAAAATTGAATCAGATAGGCAATAAAAATAAATCAGAAGAATCAAACAAATATCAACGTGAATTGAGGGAGGTACAAGAATTTATAAACCAAACTTAAGGGAAAAAATGAATAAAAACATTGAAAAACTTAAATTAAAATATGATAGTAAAGGGAATAAAGCAGACAAAATACTCTCGGCACAATAAAAAAAAAAAAAACAACAAAGCCTGAATCGAATAACTAAGATAATTAGAAACGGAGAGACAATATTAACTCCAGAAAATATAGGTCAAAGCTGTAAGGATTAATATGGCTCTTTGTATAATTTAAAAGAGGAAAATGATAAAATAAAAATAAAGAATTATCTGACAAGAGCTAATTTAAATAAAATATCGAAAAGCCAGAGAAAAGTTCTAAATCACTCTATAAATAAACTGGAAATAGAAACAGAGATAAATAAGATGGAGAAAATTAAGACACCAGGCCCAGATGGTCTTAGTAATCTATTTTATAAGACTTTTAAAAAACAATTAGTAGAACAATTGACCAAAACGTTCAATTATAGTGTAACGCAAGGATTTTTCCTTACTGAAATGTTACAGGCTAACCTTTTACCAATCTTAAAACAAGGAAAAAACCCTACAGCAGTTGAAAGTTACAGGCCAATTTCATTAATTAATGGAGATACTAAGATATTTTCTGTAATTTTGGCTAATAGATTGAAAAATATACTGAATACTATAATACATCCAGACCAAAAAGGCTTTGTTCCAGGAAGAAATGCCTCATAACACAAGGAGAATAATTGATATCATTGATTCCGTCACAAGACCCTTGCTGACCCTGTCGATTGACGCAGAGAAAGCGTTCGATAGGGTCAGCTGGGAATTTATACGTCAATCTCTACAACAATTTGGGATCCAGGGATGATGTATTGGGCCATATTAGCTCTAGTATACAACACCCTCAGCTAGAGTGGTGGGACCAAATCGGTGTTCAAACTGGTTTTCGCTTACTAATGGTACCAGACAGGGATGTCCCCTATCTCCAATCTTATATATTATGCCCATTGAATCCTTTGCTAATTGTATAAGAAAGAATAAGAACATTAAAGGATATAGATGCAAAGAAGGTGAACAAAAAAATCAATATGTATGCGGATGATTTTATTGATTACAGTTTCAAATCGAAGCAGGCCATTAGAGTATCTTATGATAGAGACCGAAGAATATAGACAAGTAGCAAACTATAAAATTAATATTGATAAAACAATGATAATGGACCTCAATTTAGATACTAACTTAAAACAAGATATTAGAGCTAAATATACATTTTCTTGGATGAAAAAAGACATGACATATTTAGAGATAAAACTATGAAGGGATTTAAATACTAGAGAAATCAATTTTTTGTCACTCTTACGACATACTACCCACTTGTTAAAGAACTGGTTAAATATAGAAACATCATGGATGGGAAGAATAAATATAATCAACTCATATATCCTCTCTAAATGGCAATATATGTTTAGGATGATTCCTTAAAATTTTTCAGATTGGTGGCTAAATTTAATTCAGAAGAGTATTACAAATTTGATCTGGCGGGGGAAAAAAACAAGACTAAATCAAAACATTCTGGCACAAACAAACATAAATGTCGGAATTAAATTTCCATTAATCAAAAATTCCTTTTCGGTTAGTATGTTATATCATATATACAATTCTCAACTAAGCAACCAAGAAAAAGAAGCATGGTACCAAATTGAGTCTGAATCTTGCCATACAAAAGATCTGAGTTTTCTGTTGGGGCAACCAAAAGATTCAAATAAGATAATAATGACCAGAAACTCCAGTATTGTTTTGGATCATTTTATAGGTTTCTGGATTAGATTAAAAATAAATGTGGAATAATCAACCAGATCCCAGAATATATACATTTAGTCTCTCTGGAACAATATATTATGGATTTAGATCTGAGGCAATGGAGACAGAGGGGCATCATAAAAATAGAGCAAATTCTAATGATGGGAAAAATAAAACCTTTCCCAAAGATTGTCCAGGAATACTAAATCTCAGGATCAGAGATATTCAATTACCTAAGACTAAAAAGCTAAATAACTTCAAATCTATTGAAAGACAAAACAATTATAATAGATAAACTTTTTGATGTCTTAAATTATGATTTAACACCTAAAGTAATTTCCAAAGGTATAGATTTGTTGAATACGATAGAAATATTACAAACTTTCCCTGTTTTCCAAATTTGGCAAAAAGATATAAATTATAATATAAATATGAGAGAATGGTGTGAAGCATGGACAAAGGTCAAAGCAGTAATGCACTGTATTAATTGGGCTGAAATACAATTTAAAGTTATACACCGGTGATATCTATTTCCTACAAGGTTTTAAAAAAAAAAATGTACCCTGATCACTCACCACTCTGTTGTAGAGGCAACAAAGCTAATGGAACATATATCCACATATAGTGGAGCTCTGGTAAGATTATTAACGTTTGGAAAAAATATATTTTCTTACATAAAAACTTATACTGATTTGAATTTCACACCAGAAATAGCTCTTTTGCATCTGAACTGGCCAAAATTAAATAAAATATGTTTTGTTTTTTTATTATACACTGTTTTCTGGCCGTAAAGATAGAAATTGCCCGTAATTGGAAAAATCCTTAGGCTCCTTTTTGGTTGAATATGCATAAACGAGTAATATACCAAATTAATATGGAAAAAAACGTTGGTAAAGTTTTGGGACAAAGGGCTAAAACAACCAGAATATAATTATATAATATTAGAATAGATTGTCTGTGCATTGATAACCTCTGGGAAACCAACCCCCTAGACGCCAGATCGAATAATGGTTTTTAAAATTGATTTGTTTTGTATATTGCACAAAAAATTTTTTTATTATTCTTTATTTTAATAGTGAAAGGTACAAAGATGCCTACAAGCATGTCAACCAGAGTATAGCATAGGCATGACGTTGGAAATATAAGCACACATTTTATAATATAATAATAATCAAGAAAACAAAACATGTCGTTCATCTTAAAGGTAAGGGAATAATTAGTGAAAGATATATGATAATAAACATGTTAGATTGTAGAGCTTTGAGGTGGAGTTAGAAGTAAGTTGGATCAATTGATTAAAACGGTGGCTATTTTTCATTGCCGATCTGGAAGGTTCCGGCTGGTTTATGACCTACGGACAATATTAAAAGGAGCACTCCAAGCACTGTAACCACTACAGCACCCTGAAGTGATTATGCTACCGAGGTACCCTGGCACTCTCCAAGAGTGAGTAGTAAAACGCTTTGAGAAAAACTAGCAGAAATATAACTACATTTGTCCTGCTGGTTTAGGTCCTGGGTCGTGAAGTGTACACATCTAATAACCAGCTGGGGGGCGTGCAGATCATGTGCAACAATGGAGTTTCACATACAATGGTGCCTGATGATTTTGAGGGAGTTTATACCATCCTAGAGTGGCTTTCCTACATACCAAAGGTAGGGTCTCTTTTGTACTGTTTATGATCAGCTTCATCGATCCTTTGCTTTTTACAAAGTGCTGCATGCTTCTTATGTTATTTAAGGATAAACACAGCCCAGTACCTGTCATAACCACAATGGACCCCATTGACAGGCAGATTGATTTCATACCATCCAAAGCTCCATATGACCCCCGCTGGATGCTGGCTGGAAGACCACACCCTTGTAAGTCGTGTGATGGTGCCATGTCTGTTGCTGGCCATGTTATACATAATTGATGATGCCACTTACAAACCCCTCTCACTCTGTGTCTCTGCAGCTGTGAAGGGGACATGGCAGAGAGGGTTCTTTGACCATGGAAGCTTCATGGAGATCATGCAGCGTTGGGCACAGACTGTTGTGGCAGGAAGGGCACGGTAAGGCCTCAAAAAATGAGCCGGTCCCTTATGTTGTGTTGGTCTTGAGGCAGTGGTGTTCCACGGGTTCCAGGGCCCGATGTACATGGTGCCGGTTCCCACGTCTGGTAGAGGCTTGCGTTCTGATGATACCGTGTGGGTGGTTGTGCCAGAAGCATGTTGTTTGTAGGTTTACCCGGTGTTGCTTCTTGCCGGATATGGCTAAGCCTGTGTGGTTGCCAGACATGCTCTCCCAAATGCGGAGCTGAGTGGTGGCAGGTAAGTCTCTGAGTGTCATAAGTAGCTCAGCACATCTGAAGCTATTCAAGGGGGGCTGCTGGTGTATCCTGGAGGGAATCCAGGGATGTTACCTGGGTCTGTGGCACGGGCACCCTGTTGTGGTCGTCTCGCCCCGCCATTACGCACGTGTCTGCGTGTTGTGGGCCATCTTAATACCGCACTTCACTGCTGGGCTAGTGCTTGGGCCTCGCGGTTTGTGTGGCTGTCACCCGTGGGGACTGGGATAACCCCCCCAGTCCAAAGGGGGGGGGGAATAGGACCGGGTCCGCCGCAGTTTAAGGTGCCTCTCGAGTCACGTTGGGCAGGATAGTGGGGCAGCGGCCATCTGCCCCACTCACCGCCGGATAGGGTCCCGTCTGAGTTGGCGGTAATCTCTCCCCCGAGGGACTAAAACTCCCTGAGCAAGCCTCTCCTCGGGTCCGGTGGCTCGTGGTCCTTGGCGGTCGAGGCTGTGGGTCTTAGATTTGGTATCTAACTGGTTTGTAAGTTTAATATGTGGAGAGTTGCATGAGCCGTTCTTTTCTGCGACCGTCCATCTTGGCGGTCCGGCCCCGCCCCCATTGCACAACATTTTTGCTTTAATATATAGATATATACTCTGTGTATAGTGATTTGCATACATTAACCAGACTAGCACAGATTTGTCTGAATATAAAAATTTATAACTAAGAATTTGTTTGGAATCCCTTCAGATGAAACTAATCTTTGAATAGAAAAGATAGTACATATAGAAAATCTAGTTAGATAGAAATGATGTAGGCTCAAATTTAAAAGTGAGGGGGTATTTCTATAATAAATACACTATGGTAGAGAATACTGTGCAATATTGTATGTGTGTAATAATGATAGATTCTCATTTTGTCTATATTATGTCTAAAAACTGAATAAAGAATTAAAAAAATAAAAATAATTATTGCCTGGCTTTTTCATTTTCATTTTGTGGATCTAAGGAACACTTTATTAGGCCTTTCCCAAAGGAAATCATTGACTCAAGTGACCAATAGAAGTAAAAAATGAGGAGCAGTAATAAAAATATATTCCATATATACAATAAACATTATATATAATATATATATATATATATATATATATATATATATATATATATATATATATATATATACACATACACACACACACACACACACACACGTATAGTGGCACTCACCCTTTCAATGAATCAGTAAAAGACTGCCTTGGTGCAATCCCACGCTGAATATGTAAAGCAAAAAGGAAAGAGATGCACTCTCAGGTCTTTGTAAAAAAAACTCGATATTATTTAATAACAGGTAACATACATCTGATCGACGTTTCGACCTCTTCAGGTCTTCCTCAAGATCCATATATGTATATATAGATATAGATAGATAGATAGATAGATGTTTTCGCTGCTGCTCCTTTTTTTCTTCTGTTGATTAGATCTGTGAAGTAAATAGTGTGAAAATTAGCCTATCAATGTACTGCAGGATGAAGAATGAAACACGATGCCTGTCTGTGCAGATCTGCAAGTAAAAAAATAAATCTTTGGACAAAATCGATTTGGACAGTCCTAATTTTTTCACCGTACACAAGTCTAAGTCATAGTGGATTTCAAATTTCAGACCAAAGTAGCTAAACTGGAAGCTTGGAGATTTTTTCACATTGATAGGCTAATTTTATTACATGACAGGAGGCTTCCTATTTTGCATAAACTTTCTTTACTTTATGCCTCCAGCAGCACAAGTCAATCAATCAGAAAAGAAAAAGTTTAACCAATCAGAGTCCAGCACCTCTTGTATATAAGTCCCTGACAGGTTTCCCATTTCCTCTTTCTTTGCTGCTTCCAGCCAGGACACAGGTCAGAGCGATTTTACCTATAACTCTTACAGTATATATATTGCTTTTTAAATAATTTTGTTTATATTGTTATCTCTTGCCTAGTAGAGGTCTTTATTGCTATTTTAAGGGTTAGCCCCCCTTTCTTTGCGCCTCACCCCCTGCCACTTCCCCCCCCCTCCTCATTTCTGCCCCCTCTCTTTCTCGCGGTTTTTACCGCGACCGCAGCTTTAAATTGCCGTGGTCGCGGGTGATTAGCGCGGCCGGCTTCTCCGGCGACTCGGGCAGCTCAGGGCGAGCGGGTGGGGGCCGGGGTCTGTTGACACTTAAGCGGGCCGCGATCAACGCGATCACGGGCCGCGCTTAGTTTTGGCGCGAACGGCCATCTTGGATCTCGCTACTCGCGAGATCCAAGTCGGCCATCTTAGGTGGGGAAACCGTGATTCACACGGTCCCCCGTTTTGCATCCCCACTCCTATCACCCTCTGTCTGCCAGGCCCCTCTATAGAGACAGGGGACCTGGGAGGGAGAGGGTGCTAGTATTGTTCATACTTACCCCTGCTCTGGGGGATCCTGTTCTAGGGAGTATCTCCATATATATAGTATTGTCCCCCCCTACCTGCCGTTTTGGGGTACTGCAACAGAAGCAACCTGAATAAATAAATAAAGGAATAAAATAAATATACACAAACACAAGAAAAAAAAAACAAAAAAACAAGGAATATATATTTTGGAAATAAATATTGAAAAAAAATAAATAAAATAAATAAATAAATAAATAAATAAAATAATAATAAGCTCTTCCAGAGGTGACCCCTCTGAGTGGGGTGACCCCCCACTGGCACACTATTATTGTTATCAAGGGGTGACCCCCCTGCGCTGGGTGACCCCCAGGCGTGTGCCTTACTATCTGAAGAGCGGGGTGACCCCCCTACTATTTATGCTGATACGTGTGGTCGGCACCCTTCATACTACGACTGGGGTGTCCTGCTCATTCCCTTTCCACTGGGAAAAAATCTATCATACTACTTCCCCACTGGGCTTTGAAATTAAGGGCACGACCCGTACAATATCTAGGCACTACGACCTAGCCGAGATTTCGCTATCTCAGACCGCTCATTCCGGTCAGCCGGAGGGTGACCCCCTCGCTAGCCCAAGATTACAGGCAGTGTTAATACCTTGAGACAGGTTGTTTGATCTGGGCCCATTGGCCACACTAGACGACCCCCAGTCGTAGGAGGAACGCCGTAACTCCTTATTACTGCCTTGTACTATTCACGTACTTCGGTACCTGACTCTATCCTGTCTTTACAGACAGTGACCGCAACCATGAACATGGGTGAGCCTTCACAGCAAACTCCACCCGATTTTCAAGCACTAATTAATTCAGCGGTGGCGGCCTCAATGGAAAAGGCCATAGCTAAACTATTGGTCCAAACCCCACATGGGGACCCGGATACCAAAGGACATGACAAGTCTTCAGGGGATAGTGCCTCCCCTAAGAGACATTGGAAGGGCAATGGCCCAGCCCCACGGACGGCAAAGGGCAAGGCCCCACTCAAGAAGAGCCGCCAATCAGACCGCCTAGGTCCGTCAACCCCCCCGCTGACATCCTCCGATGACGAGGGAGGTAACTCACCAACCCCGCTGGAAGTTATGGACGAGTGGAGAGCGGGGGACTCCCCATCTGAGGAGGAGGACTGGCTCGACATACCCCGCGGCCACACGGGTTCGGAGCTGGTCGACGAGCAGGACACCCGTCATGGGCACTGGAAGGCCGATACACAGACGGACAACCTGGAGGACGGCACCTTCATGGACCCCCAAGGCACTCCGATGTTTGATCCACGTGCGATACGTCACCCGAGATCATTGGAATGGGGCCTACCGGACCATTTGGCCCAATTTATTCATTTTTGGCTACGACAACCTATGGACAAAGAGGTCCGGGCGAGACTGAAGGCCGAGTGTCCAAGACCTAGCCTACCGGACAAGATTGCCCACACGCCTGAATTCGACACCACGGTAGTCGTATTCATGTCAAGGACGGGACGTGACCCGCGTAAGGGCATTGAGAAAGGCCTCAAAGCTTCGCAAGATAAGTTACTAGATATGCTTGGCCCACTCGCTAAGATCCTGTACCTCGCAGACGGAGCGCTTACCCAAGGGAGTGCCTTGGACGCCCACGATGTGAGAGAATGGGCGCAACGCGCAATCTGCTTATTGGGCAACACCAACGCCGCACTCTGTGCGGAGAGACGTAAAGCCGCGCTTCTCAAGATGGACTCTAAGCTCCTGGAACTCGGCAAGAAAGAATTGGGGCCACGGGCCAATGGCCAACTATTCGGAGAAGCCTTCATTGGAGAGCTAAAGAAACATGTGAACTTATTTACGACATTGAGCAAGGCCCAGACTTCCATTAAACAAGTTTTTCGTAACCCTACTCCAACCAGAAGGGTTTTCGGCAGGGCTGGTCGCCATCGGGGCCGAGCCACCAGCCGTTTCTGGCCAACAGGCCCCAGGAATCAAGCTTCTCAGTCGTTCTTCCCATCGAGACCACCCTTCTCGAGAGGAACCTTCCGACCCAGAGGAGCTCGTACCTGCGGACGCGGGCGCTTCAATACAGGTGAGCACCCCTCAAGTACCATTGTGCCTCTCCCCTGTTACTGCTGGCAGACTGTCTCTTTTTTCACAGAACTGGGAAAAGATATCCTCCAATGCCTGGATCCTTCAAACGATCAGGGGCTACGAGATCGATTTCGCGCACACACCGACCCAATCACGTCGACCACAACCGATACGAACGTCGGTGGAACTCACCAAGCTCATAGACGACGAGGTCCGAGCGCTATTCCTCAAAGGGGCAGTCGAATTTGCCCCCGACGACACGGGTTTCATCAGCAACATATT